AAGTTTGTTAGTAGCAGTCATTATTATTTCTTTGAATAAAACATATTTCTCTGTTGTATTGCTCAGAAAAACTTGGGTGATTTCTCTCTCTCTCTCTCTCTCTCTTTTTTTAATGTTTATTTATTTTTGAGAGACAGAGACAGATCGTGAGCAGGGGAGGAGCAGAGAGAGAGGGAGACACAGAATCAGAAGCAGGCTCCAGGCTCCGCACAGGGCCTGACGCGGGGCTCGAACTCACAAACGGTGAGATCATGACCTGAGCCGAAGTCGGACCCTCAACTGACGGAGCCACCCAGGCGCTCCTTGGGTGATTTCAATTTATATTTTTGACTGACATATATTTATAATTTTTAAGGTAGGAATTCTGGGCTGGCGGCAGCTGCCACTGCTCTGGGGCCTTACTGCTCCCTCATGTTGTTTTCCGAGTGTTATTTCTCATTTTCTACATGTTGGTGCTCCCAAGACAGAGTTACAAAGTAAAGATTATTTACTTTAAGGAATTACACTGCTGTAGACTTGATTTGAGCCTCCATTCTCTTATTTTTCTCATGAATGGGTATAACAGCCTAAACCATTTCGATAATTGAACGTAGCTGCTTTTTTTAAACATTTTTATTTATTTTGAGAGAGAGAGCACGAGTAGGGGAGGGGCAGAGAGAGAGAGGGAAAGAGAGAATCCGAAGCAGGCTCTGCGCTGCTCAGCTTAACTGACTGAGCCACCCAGGCTTCCCAAACATAGCTCTTTGAATTGAGCTACATTTTTAGGTGGGACTACTTTCTTATGTGAGAATAACAGATGACAGCTGATATTTGTAATGTTAAAAATGATAATCCTAGTAGTTTTGGAACCTTTCCAGTAAAGAACCCTTTGAGGTTGGGGTGAATTTATAAATTCTTAAAGTAACAAAAATTGCCACATAGTAAACGCTATTTAAGTGTTAGATACTTTTATCATTATATATATGTGTGTGTGTGTGTGTGCATATATATGTGTATATACATATATGTTTTGGGGCAGAAACTCAGCATTTTTTTTTTTTTTTTTTTTAGCTACACAGCTGAAACTGAGTCACGCAGGACAAGACAATATTTTGTCATGACGCTTAGTAAATAGACTTAGAGATAATTATAATCTTTTATAGAAATAGTACAGGTGCATTGTACCAAAAGTAGAAAATATAAAACAAAAATGAGAAAAATATATATTTCTACCACCCAGAGATGATTACTTTTAGTACCTTAGTTTGTAAATCTTTTTGTCTACATATGTCTATATGGATATATATGTATTATTATGCCAACATGATGTAATGCTGTATGTTCTCTTTTGAAACCTTTATTTCAGTCAATAATAATAATACTGTCTACTTTTCCATTTCAGTAAACTTTCATCTTATCTAATGCCCAGATGATATTCATATTTCTCTAGTTAGCTCAAAAACGTTCTTTATGGCTGGTTTGCCTAGAACAATATCCAGAACAGCATTGTACATGTGAACTTGGCTCTTAGAACCCTTAAGTCTTTATAAATCAAGGAGAGCTACCTGTCCCTCCCCTCCTCACCTTTAAAAACAAGGCATTTGAGGGGCGCCTGGGTGGCTCAGTTGGTTAAGCGTCCGACTTCGGCTCAGGTCATGATCTCACAGTTCGTGAGTTTGAGCCCCACATCGGGTTCTGTGCTGACAGCTCAGAGCCTGGAGCCTGCTTAGGATTCTGTGTCTCCCGCTGTCTCTGCCCCTCCCCTGCTTATGTTTGGTCTCTGTCTGTCAAAAATAAATAAACGTTCAAAAAATAAAAAGGCATTTGAGCAGAGACTGGGTCAGGTGCTGTAGACCTTTTTAATTTATCCAGTTTATTCTCTGATAATGTCAGTTAGCTTGGTTTTTCTGTCTCTTTGTAAATGAATAGTTATATCTAAATGCTTGGTGGGTTCTCAGGTTGAATATAGCTTGACTATCATAGATGATGCTATGTCCTTCATATTGTATCACATCAAAAGTTATACGATCTCCACTTGATGATGCTGAGATTGACCAGTGAAATTGGGTGGTGGCAGTCTCTTCTGCCCATTGTTCAATTATGTTTGTTTCCTTACATTAGAAAGTATTTTGTGTGGCATTACTTTGACTGTAAGAAAGTTCAGTTCTTATTATTTAAAAAATTTTTTAATGTTTATTTTTGAGAGGTAGAGTTGAGTGGGGGAGGGGCAGAGACAGGGAGACACAGAATCAGAAGCAGGCTCCAGGCTCTGAGCTGTCAGCACAGAGCCCACATGGGGCTCGAACTCATGATCCGTGAGATCATGACTTGAGCTGAAGTCAGATGCTTAACCGACTGAGCCACCCAGGGGTTCCAGAAAGTTAAGTTCTTCATCATCAACTCACTTACTGCTTTAGAACCGGTTGTTGATCCTTGCCTAATCAATAATTTTATTAGGGTTTGCAAAATATGATTTTCAAAGTTCTGTTCTCTTGTGTTTTTCTGTAAAGTGTATCTTTGTCATATGAATTGGGGCTATTTGATTGCCCTGAAATATAGTACCTACAGGAAAAGTTGCATAAATACTTAATCCGCCCCCCTCATTAGCTATTTTCAAAGTAAAGGAAGAACCATTCTGATAGCCGCTTCAAATAAATGAAAAAGAGATTTTCTTTTTTTCTTTTGAACATCTTTATAGGCTCAAGGTTTTAATTTTATTTAGGGTGTTTTAATTTACTAGCGTTTAAATTTTTTCTTTGATGCTCAGATTGTTACAGTTTTAGTTGTTGGGATGTCCTTCATGTTAGCTTCTATGTCTGCTATAGACCATTAGTCTCTGTACACCTTCCGTGTTCTCTGGCACAGAAAGGAATCCCAGGCTCACCCTGAACCTTCTTGTCCCACCCCTGGCATCAGCTGTTGTTCCAAGGAGTTTAGTACCTTTTAATGTATTATGGTATTAGAGATGAAATCTGGGTTTTAGGATTGTTTACTTTTGCTAAGGTAACATGCTTTTAGGCCACTTCAGTGAAAAGACCTAGAGAACATAGATTTTAACGTGAGTTCGTATTTAATTAATGTTTTTACTTTGATTTTTGATTTTTTTATTTAAAAAAAATTTTAATGTTTATTTTTGAGAGCAAACGAGAGAGAGAGAGAGAGAGAGAGAGAGAATGTGGGGGAGGGGCAGAGAGAGAGAGAGCGAGCAAGGGAAACAAGGCGCTCGAACTCAGGAACCATGAAATCATGACCTGAGCTGAAGTCCAGAGTCAGACACTTAGCTGACTGAGCCACCCAGGTACCCCGTTGATTTCTTGATTTTATAATGGTATCTCTTTTATGTCTGTAATCATGAATCTGAAAATCATTAGCAAAATTTTATTTTTTTCCCTACAATATAAAGAAAAAAAGCTTGAGGATATCCATACTGGTATTAGTAAAAACGAACTCTCAGAAGAAGTTTAAAATTTTTTTTCTAGTTGTTTTTGTTCTTATAGTGTGCTTCCTAACAAGAAGTACGGTAAAATTGTTGCACTGTCCAGATGAAATCATTTCTCCTGGTCATCAATTTGATCTTTAGTCAGGTTTGTTGTTGCTGTTTTTAGGGTATGCTTCTCCCCTTTCCCTTCCCCCTCCCTTCTCTATATGAAGCAAACATTTGTATTAGTTTCTCGGTTGTGTGTGTGTGTGTGTGTGTGTGGTGTGCACATGTGCATTGGAAAGCTCAAATTCAAGCAAATACGTGTGTAAATGTTATTTCATCCAAACAGTAAATATTTTTTCATATAAAAGGTAGTATACTGTATATGTTGTGCTTCTTTTTTCTTAAAATATTTGTTAGGTCTGTTCAATCAGTGTGTGGCAAAACTATGGATAAAACCTTTTAAAAATTCTGATACTAAAATAAAAGCTTTTAGTAATCCGATAATTATTTTTGGATTGAAAATAATACTGAGATCAACTCAATAATGTGAATGTGGCGGAAAGTGAAGGAAAAAAGATCTAGAAAAGGGCACTGGCTTTGATGAATTTTGAATTGTATTTGAAAAATGAATGGGTCCAGAAGTAGACAGAACACTTTAGGGATGGTTTTGAAGAGAGGCTTGAGGCAGATTAGCTTGGCTGTTTTGTAAGGTCCATGTCAGAAAATTATGAGATTAAAGAGATGGATAGTGGATCTCAAGAAGAAATTAGTGCTGGTATGATCCAAAATACATAGAAATGTAGAGTGTGTGTGTGTGTGTGTGTGTGTGTGTGTGTGTGTGTGTGTGTGTGTTTTAATGCTTCTGGAGTGCAGAAGTTTTTATGCCAAATACAGTGTGTGACATAAGTGAATAGAATGGCATGCTAAATGTTGATTACCTTGATGGAAAGGGAGAATAAGTTTGTACCTTAGTTCGCTATTACCAAGTCGCAAATACCAAGGACTGGAAGAGATCACTGTGGTTGTTTCAGCCTAATCATGTGGAATAGGAAATTGAAGCCTGCAAATGTTTAAGTCACATGTCAAACTTATACACCTGGTTAGATGAACAGCCAGGTCCTAAATCTGGCTTCCTAATTCTTAATTGTAGCTCCCTTTCTCTATGCCATGGAGCCTTTTATATCCATGAAACATTAGAAGTCGTGTAGCTATTTTTGTTTTTATTTTGATACTTGGTTTTTGTCCCAAGATAACTTGAGTTCTGCGATTTATAAAGTCAGGGTTTTGTTTTTCACGTACATATGCCTAAATACCGTAAGTGTGGAAGTTAAGTTTTTTCCTTGAGGGCATTTTTAATGTAGTAGGTAGAGGGATTTGAAAATTATTTTGCCATATACTTATTTTGATATAATTCTTTCGGAATTAATGTATTCACTTGTGTTTCTTAATTATGCATGATGGTTTATAAATAAATAAATTTGACAGTCTTTTGCTAACATAGGTATAGTAATTTTTATAATCAGCTAATGCTTTAAAACATTTACACGTAGTTTGCATTTTTGCATATTTCAGATATTTCCTTAACCTAAGTACTCAGATATTTATCCAAACATTATTGCTATGGGGTTTCCTGCAGAAAGACTTGAAGGCGTATACAGGAACAATATTGATGATGTAGTAAGGTAAGAACTCTTAATTTTCTGTTTCAACTATTGATGTATTCATGCTGTATTTTCATTTAGAGAAGATTTCTAAACCATAGAAAACGATGTCCTTGTGAGGTAAACTTTATTTTTATTATGTTGGTTCTCTGTACTGCTTTTTTGTTTGTTTATTTAATGGACTTCAGTGGGATACAACTCCGTTGATAAGAACTGACCTTTGACATGATCAGGTGTATGTGATATAATTTCGTGGACTCCATACAATACTTCTTAACCAAGTTAATGTCTGGATTCCATTACACTATGGTTTTGTCTTTTATTTCACAGTAGGAGATTAGGTTTAACATCAAGCGGATTCATTCACTTTATTCATCCTAAGTTGGAGATAACTGATACCATGTATTTTTTTACATACAACAGTTTATAGTAGGGCATAAATGTACCAAGCGTTTGAATAAGTATTTGGTAGAGGGTCTGGACAGGAGTTGGTGGGCAAACCAAAGTCTGACTTTGTCTCTTTTATAAACGTGAATAATTTTCTGAGTGTAATTATCATTCAGTTCCGAACAATGTTTCTCAAGGCCCATTTAAATGGTTTTAATACATTTATAACCTAAGAGTACATCATGTGTTTCATGAGAGAAGAAATTTGTGTCTGCTGTGTAGTCTCAATATATTTTCTCATTCCAAATAAAAAATATATATGTATGAAAAACTAACTATAAATGTCCGTAGAAACTTTAATGGTTTTTAAAGTTTAAAATTTTGGATTATTCCCTTTATGCCCTTTCAGAAATCTCTTTCTTGGAGACTTTGAATTTAAATATTTGCTGGGAATTAAATGTTACAGTGAGTGGGAGAGCACTTTGTAAAGCATTATGCAGATGTAGAGTCCTTTTGTATTAGTTGTTTAAGCACATGAGCCGACCTGTGTCCTTATATGAGTGAGCCACAAGTTGTTTTTCTAAGTGGTAAGTTTTTACCAATTTGCTTTGAACCAATGTATATTTAAATTTTGCCATATTGAGTTGTGTCCAGTTGGACTTTTGTAGTGTTTCTGTTCTGTGCAGAATTGGTAAATGTCAGTGTCTACAAAAACTACAGAAAAACCCCAAACTACTTCTTTGTAGTTTGTATTACAGTTATAGCTACATGAGACTGTTAGAAGTGCTGTTTAAGAACTTGAAAATAGGGACATAAATTTGTTTTCTCCTAGTTAGGTGGGACACAGTTGGAAGGATGCTTACCATCACAGATCCATGAGAGCAACACTGTGATACGGTTTAGTCAGTGACAGTACACATGTACAGAAAATGTGGGTGGTAGAGAAAAGAATGAGGGACGTAAATTTTGAATCAGGAGAGGAGGATCTGGAAAAGGAGTCGTGCAGTCACCAGACTTGTGTTCTCTGCGGTGGTGCAGGAGTGTTCTTCAGGCCTCCTTATGACCTAGGCAAGATATCCTCCAGGGTGACTATCTTACATTACTGCTTTGTCATTCTGTGTCCAACCAAGTACTGATTCAATCAAATCAGGTTAGTACTCACCTGGAAAAGGAGTATGAATAGTCTGGGTAGAGGACAAGTTTTCTGATCACTGTAAGGGTATCATCCTCGTGGTAAATTAACCTGGCATGTTAGTTTTGGTTGGTTCTCTTTGTTCTCTTCTGACTGAATTAGTTTCTTCTGACTTGTTAGTCACGAGGCTGATTTTTCATCTTTCAGGTTACTGATAAAGTTCAGTTTTTGGATCTGTACACTTCATTTTCAGACCTTAGATTGTAATAATTTCACCAAGAAAATATTTTGCTGGGAAGCATTTTGATATGTCATCTTCTGACTCCATAGCCCTCGCCTGAATTAATGACACTGAATTAAGATTCCCAAATTTGGGGCTCCTGGGTTGCTCAGTCAGTTAAGCGTCTGACTTTGGCTCAGATTATGATCTCGCGGTTCACGAGTTCGAGCCCCATGTCGGACTCTGTGCTGACAGCTCAGAGCCTGGAGTCTGCTTCAGATTGTGTGTCTCCCTCTCTCTCTGCTCCTCTCCTGCTCATGCTCGCTCGTGCACGCTCTCTCTCTCTCTCTCTCTCTCTCTCAAAAATAAAATAAAACGTTAAAAAGTTATTGAAAAAAAAAAGGATTCCCAAATTTAATTTGTAATCTGTAACCAAGATTGAAGTTTATTCTGCCTGCTTTAATGTATCTAGCTTATTGTGTCCAGTTCTTGGCTTTTTCAAATGTTATTCCTTAAAAAGGTTTTATGTACATGGTTTTTTATTTAGCCAGTGGTTGCTTTAGCCAACTGATCCTGTCACCTTTATGGTAATGGCAGTGGTAATAGCACGTAAATGATGAGGAATTACCTGTAGAATATAATAGCTATGCTGTGCCTGGTTTGTCTTGCCCTCCCACATGTTGTGATTGGGGGATAAATGGCTAGTGAGGCTTTGCTGGCTTCCGTTGCTCACTCCACTCCCCTTCTGCGAGAGAGAGGATGAACAGTGACCAGGAAGATAGTTGTGGTTTTTCCTGTGAAATAAAATAAAAATAAGTAACTTCCAAGTAATTGGCCTGTTAGAATTAACTTCTCCAAGGGGGAATGGCTGTCTCTAGTACCTAAATGATTGATTTTCTTGTTTGGTTCCCACGGTATTGGACACAGTAGTAATAATCAGTAGTGATTCCTTTTTGGCTCAAAGATGATAATGTCTCAGTGAAAAATGTGTCTTTATTCTTGTAAATTTTCTCTCAACAAACATTTCCAGTTGGATTTCCTTTGCCCTCTCATTCCATGTGTTTTCTATGATTTCTCCCCAAAGGAGAAACACTATGCCAGGTTCATACTTTGTTGGTGTTGAACATCTTTGCTTTGAGTAAAAGAAACTCACATTGCAAATGCCTTTACTTAAATTATGCAGTATTTAACTGTTGGGGATATGGTTTGTTAATGGCAACGTGAAATTTTATATTTGAGGTACTCAAGTGACAAATATTTAACTTCTTTTGAGGTTACCTCCTAGGATCAGGAATTGATGCAAAAAAGTAAAAAGTCGGGGAGAAGTGAACAAAGCTGAAATTTTTAACTGTCTTAACTGCAAATGTTTTGTTTAATAAGCAATCAGAATTGACAGGGTAGGACAGCGACATCTCAAAAAGAAAGTTGAAGAGCTGAACTCTTCCCAGATTGTTTTTTCTTCTTTTCCTCTTATTAACCACCTTCTCTCCTCCTCCTCTATTGCCCCTAAGATCTTGCTCTGAACTGCTGGTAATTTGAAACAATGTTTTATTCAGATAATTGATTATTGTGTGGTAATCTCATCCCTGGGGCTAATATTGAAGTTACCCTAATTTATATGTTATCTGGTATAAATCTGAGCAGTCTTTAACAAAGTGATGAATTTTGTGTTTAACAGACATAGCTTAAGAACTGTTCTGTACTTAATAAATCAGACAAATGTAGGTTTAATAGAGTCGTGAACTGGCTTTCTTACTGCAGAACCTTTAATATACTACTATGCCTTGTAACTCTCCCAAGAGTGAAATTTGAATATGCTGCTTTTCTTTTCCTGTTTTTTTTTTCTCTTCCCTTCCCTTCCTTCCCCCTTCTCTCTTTCTTTTCTTTTAATATGTTAAATAATGTCTTCTAAACAGTGTTCCTTGGAGCATAATTTGGGAAGTGTTGAAAATGAAAAAAGATGCATAGAACAATATTTCCCCTTAGTCTGAAATCAGTAGGAAGTAATTTGCTTCCCGTTTTATTGGAACGATGTTAGATGTGGGTGGGTTCCCATATTTATTGTAAGGAAATGCTTTGAGCTTAGTCTTCTGATATATAGTGATTTTCTTTAAAAAAAAAAAAAAAAGACTTTATTCATTGTGTTCTATACTCTCAGCCTTTTTATCCATATATATATGCGGCTGTATTACAGATTCAGGTGCAGCTTCCAGCTTTCCTCTTTTATACATTTTCTCCCTGAAGAAAGGTCACATATTCTTATAATTATATGTTGATCTCTCAATCAACCTTAATTATGTGTTGATATTCCATTGAAAAGGAAGTGTTTGTCATCCCAACATTATCATTATTGGTTATTCAGTTAAAAAATTAAAAAGAGATTATATAGAGGAAAGCTTCGAAATAATTTAGAGAGAATATCAATTCCATTCTCCCTTTTCAACAACTTTTGACTTCTTCCTTGTATTGCCTTTCTTTTCCCTGCTTCCTATTTTTTTCTTTATTGAGGTGAAAATTACATAACATAAAATTAATCATTTTAAAGTGTACACTTCAGTGACATTTGGTACTTTCACGATGTTATGTAACCACCACCTCTTTGAAGTTCCAAAACATTTTTATCACCCCAAAAGAAAAAGCTCTACCCATTGGCTGCCTCCCACTTCTTTTGTTGGTCTTATTTTCTTAAAATGGCAGTCTTGACAGATTTGACAGTGTTTATAGTATCTGCACCAATTCAGTTTTTGATATTTTAATAATAGGTAACATGTATTTTACATTTATTTACATACATATGTTGCTTTTGTACAGTTTACATGTGTCATATTTTATTTTATTTTATTTTATTTTATTTTATTTTATTTTACTTATTTATTTTGAAGGAGAGAGAGGGCAGGGGAGGTGCAGAGAGAGAGAGAGAGAGAGAGAGAGAGAGAGAGAATCCCAAGCAGGTTCTGCGTTGTCGGTACAGAGCCCCATGTGGGGCTTGATCTCACAAACCAAAATCAAGCTGAAATCAAGAGTCAGCGCTTAACCAATTGAGTCACCCAGGTGACATGTGTCATCTTATTAAAAAACTACAGTTTTTAATAAGTCCCCATTTCATATATGGTGTTAAAGAAGTTAGCTTCCCCAAGTACCAGAGCTGGTTAAGTAGTGAGGCTAAGGGTTGAGTCCAGTCTGTCAGATTCCAAAGCTGATAGCCATATGATCCTGTATGTCAGAGAACAAAATGTTTTATCCTATACATGTGTACACCAGAGGTTATATACCATGTATAGG